TATACAATATTTCCATCCATAGAAAATTGCCTTTTTAAGAAGCTTCTCTTTTTCAAGGAACTTTGTCTAGCAGAATATGTTCTTTTGAAAGGGGACATAAACCGGAGGACTGATTTAGAACAGTGGGGGTTTCAAGAATAAGATTGGCCCCTAGGGTTTCCAGCAATAAAGCCTGCTCTAAGAGATCTAGTAACTGGTAATGGCACTGGACAATAACTTGGAACAGAGAAGATGAATAAAAAGAAAATTTTCTATGTGAAGGCTATCTCTACACATAACTGCTACAAAACAATCACATCTCTTATCCTTAATCAAAAACAATCTTATTCTCAAGAGGTAGCATTTTATTTTTTTTAGAGTTTTTTTTGTTTTCTGCTAATGATAACTAGTGTTAGATTTCATATAATCTTCTGGCTAGTTACCAGTTCTCGCTCACAAATTTTAACACAAAAACTGTAATCAGCTTACCTCCACTAAATGATCTACAACATATAAATCACTAATCACATTCTGTATTACCTTTATATATCAAAACAACACAACAACTTACCAGATTGGGAGAGCACGTGATCAGTACCCTGTGCGGGTTTCGATAATTACAATACTTAATACCTCATCAAAACAACATAATAGATATCTAGAATATACCTTAGTTATTCTATTATTTATATTACAACATGATCATATTATATAACAATAACATCACAAAACATTACACGACCAAACTCATCGAGTTATATATGGCTTGCGCAGTGCTGACACCCAACTGAAACATCTAATTGCATTCAGGAACCATATCTAACAAAAGCTCTAATTTTTTCCTTCTTTTTCTTCTCACTCAAACGTTTTACAATGCTAGCGATCTTGCTCCAAATGTTTTTTTTTTATTTTATTTTTTATAACAAATAGTTACTCAGGTTTTTTCTGCTCAAGGATTTTTCAGATGATATATTTTTTTAATGAATGGTAGGTTAATATCTATAGCGATATAATTCATATCTTAATATTAATTATATAACAAGTTAAACTTTTACTTTATTAATAAATATCATGAGTAATACTTTACTCTAACATTAAAAAAAAGTTTTAAAATATATTTAAATAAAATTTTATAAAATTTTAATTATTTTTTCTTTAATTATAAGATAAAATATAAAATTAAAAAAATTTCAAAAAATTATAACCTATACTGTATATACTGTATATGTATTTTAAATAGATAAATATTATTACTTTATTAAATTATAAAAAATATAAATATTTTATATATTGTTGTAGTAAAATTATAGCAAGTCAGTCGTTTCAATCTGTCTTATGCCTTGTAATGATTAGGGCAGTTTCTACTCAAAAGAGGTATATAAATTTGGCCAGAGTTTGTAATACTAATACAGATCAGTCTGTCAATCTTGCATCCCAACTGGTTACTTAATACACAGCAATTTTGTTAGCTACATGATACTAGAATCAGTTACAAGACAATAGTTTATCAAATAAAGATGGTTTTTATTTAATAGTTGCATAGTACCTATTCTGGTTCTTTCTACTTTTTGACTATTCTCAGGTTACTTATATACATTTTTACTTTATATCTATTATATTTGATATATCACTTATACCTAATATATATATATATATTTAAATAGGTAAACATCATCACTTTATTTATCATAAAATTGTTTGAAATTTATACATAGAGAAAGTGACAACATCTCTTATATAACTTGCTAAGCTAATAAGTCTAATGCTAGCTTGCCTACAAAAACTACCTAAATGACATGGAAAATAAATATTAAAACTGATATACATCCTAAATAGTACCGAACAGCTATGAATATCTACTCAGGTTTATATGTAAAACTTCAAGAAATTGAAAATTGAAAAAAAAAGAAAATACTAAACAAAAACAAAAAAAATAAATGCAAAAACACTAATTATGAAGCTATAGATGCCACTGGGCATGCCATACTAGTAGTTCCATTTAACTGAAGTACTGTTGCACTTCCAGAAATGGCCAGGCTACTGTTCAAAGTGAACAATAGTATTGATAGTATATCTTTTTGGTAGATAATTAGTCATGGTGATAGTATTGTTGTTGTGGTAATGTGAATTGTGATTGGTTTATTTGTTAATAATGTGATTTTGTTTTAGTTGTTGTCACCATAAAAGGTTTTGTTTATATTGATCAAAGTGTAGTATTTTGATTATACGGATTTGTTTAGAAAATTGATAGTGTTTGAAGTTGTTTTATAGTTTATTTAATTTAGTTTTAATTTTAATTTTAATTTTTTTTTAATTTTTTTAAATAAATAAATATTTAATACATTAAAAAAATTTTTTAATATAATAAAGTTTTAAAAAAAAACTCTTTCCCATATATAACTTTTTTTTAAAAAATTTCCTTTTATAATAATTTTTTTTCAAAATTAAAGAAACAAATATTTTTTTCACTTTTTAATATTTAAAAGTCCTTCACACCTTCTCTTTTTTCATTATAAGAACTTCAAGGAAATTAAAGAAATTCATTGATACATTGGGATAGGACTTTTGATCAAGGAAAAGCAAGTTTGAAGATCTTGCTTTTTTTTTGGATTGTATAAGGAAAGACCCATGACAGTTACTTTTTTACGAATTTTTCTTGGGGTTCTTTCCTATTATTCTTCTTTTTAATATATAAATCTTTTTAAATAATTACTTTTTTTGCTTGGGGGACTTCTTTTTAATCAAAAAAATCAAACTTTACATCAAAATTATTTATATTATTGACTTGAGATACCAACAATATATCCAATATTTATTCTTTACTATCATTCAGTATATTCAAAAAAATTTTTTCCAAAAAACCATAATTAGTTTATTTCTGTCAACTGATCTACATTTAAAATCCAACCAATCAAACATTACCAAATCTCAAAGCAATTCTATATAATCAAAACACTATATAATGATTGATATAAACAAATTCTATTTTGGCAGTATCAATCAAAACAAGATTACATCACTAAAAAATAAATCAATCAACATATTAATAAAAATATTAACAATTACAACAATATCACATAATCTTAATAGCATGTCAACAATACTATTATTTACTTTGAACAGTAGTTTGATCATTTCTGAAAGTAGCATCCTACTTCAGTTGAATGGATTAACCAGCATAACATGCCTAATCCAAGATATCCTTTGTATAATAATCAGTTTTTTTTCACTTTTTTTTCGATTATTATCAAATATCTAAATACAAATAACTATACCTTTATTACTATTAATAATGATTCAAAAAACGGCTGTCAAGAGGACATATCATCAATACTGTTATATACTATGAGCTATAGCTTGACTATTTTGAAAAGTGCAATATTATTTCAAAAGGGTGGAATCACCAGAGCTATATTAGGTTTCATTTGTATTATAATTAGTTTTTTTGTTATTTTTCTTTTATTTAGCATTTTTTTTTTTTACTTTTATATTTTTTTAAATTTTATTTCATATAATCTTGAGTAGATATTTATAATTGTTCAGCACTATTTTAGATATATATTGGTTTTAATATTTATTTTTCATGTCACTTAAATAATTTTTGTAGGCAAGCTAGTATTAGACTTATTAGCTTAGCAAGTTATATAAGAGATGTTGTTGCTTTCTCCATGTATAAATTTTAAACAATTTTACAATTAATAAAGAGATGATGTTTATTTACTTTAAAAAAAAAAAAATTTTTTTTAATATTAATTAAATATAGATCACATAAGCAAATTAATATTTAACTTATAACTTATACATGTAAAAAATGCAGTTTCTTTTATGATATACATGTATACTATTTATATATACAAACCAAATAAAGAAATGATACTTATTGAAAAAAAAATTAATTTATATGGAGAGTTTTTTTTTTATATATTGTATATATTATATATTATAATAAATAAGTTATTAGAATTAATAATAATAATAACATTATTATAAAAGTAAATACGGTAATTAAATAATTAATTACGTAATATTATTACAAACAATTAAATTAAATTGTAATATACAATAGTTATTACAATACGATTTAAATTGTTAAAATATTATTATTATAAAATACAAATCAGAATCATTATTATATTACTGTACATATAAGCAACAGCACTTAATAAGGTTTAGAGTTTATTTTTTAGTAAAATACATTCGTTTTTATTAGTAAATTACTTAATTTAATTTAGTTAGTGCTAAGAGCATAATTTCAGGGAAAACCTTCGGAGCGAACTTTAACTCGGGTATAGTTTTAGATCATAGACTTTATCACTAATTTTATTCTCAATTCTATCAATTCCATATATTTATAAAGTTGTTTTTTTTGTCATCGCACTGCATACAAACAAAAGAGATTTTCTTTTGAAGATCTGATAAAAAACATCGGAGTTTAGTCTTCCCCATCAATAGTCCAATTCAGCGAAAGTGTTGGGGTTGTTCATATGACAATAGTATGAATCAACACCAAATTTTTTTTTTGTGCTCAACATGTGACATCGCTTGACATTATATTTACCAAATAGAACATCTCTATTTATGTGAATATAAAATAACGATGAAGATTGTAAGATAGGGCGTTTTTTTCATGAAAAACAAATTTATCATAAATCCTTAGGCTTGATCGCGTGTTAATTCTTGATTTGCCAAAATTACATTTCCTTGATCCTGGTTCCTGACACGACATTAGCACGCGACTTTATTACGCTCATAATACGTAACCGGATTGCATAATAATTGAAGTGACACCATACCTTTTTTGATATTATTTGCTTATTTGTCCCGGTTTTTTTTTGATCGACAAATAGATATAAATCCACTTGTCTAAACAAAGAAAATATTAGCTGTGGATAATATTTTTTTGTGCACAAACCGATTCTCGACAGCCAGCTTAATCGTCGAAACAAACATTTGTGTTTGTTTTTACACAGAGTCAAAGTATATTTAGCTTTAGAGAACTGCTTGAAAGAATAATAAGAACAATGGCCTTCCTTGATTCAGATTATGTCAGTGAAGCTGGTCTCAGGAACCTGAAGTTTTACAAGTATGCAGCGGTTGATAAGTCGCCAATTTCAAACTATATTTTGAGGCCATATTGGAACTGGGCCATTGAATTGTTTCCATTATGGATGGCGTGAGTTGAATTGTCATTTCATTTTTTTCATTGAGAAAGTTACCACTATCGTTTTTAAAATATTCTTTATTATCTACCAGACCAAACTTGATTACATTATGTGGATTAGGTTTTATTATTATGAATGTAATATGTGTTATGATCTGGATTGATGATCTCGTAGGTCCTGGTCCAAGATGGCTATATTGGACGCAAGTATACGCTATTCTTAGAAGCTCCTGTAGTATTTTAACAAGGCATAGTAAATATTAAATGATTTTTCTTGTACATAAAAGTTTTCCGGCTGGTCTGTGGTTATACTCGACATTTGATAACGTGGATGGCAAGCAGGCACGAAGAACCGGAACCTCATCTCCTCTTGGTGAACTTTTTGATCACGGATGTGATGCACTAGATTGCAGCTTTGGGACCATTGTTCTTGCAGGTTCCTTAGGATTAGGTCACTCGGGTTACGCGGCCGTTCTTTTACTTTTGACAACCATACCATTCTATCTATCTACCTGGGAAGAATATCATACCGGTGTATTATATCTAGGATACTTTAATGGACCTACGGAAGGTGTTATTATTGGTTGTATATTGATGACCATATCTGCTATTACAGGTATGTTTCCAGTTTTTTATGAAATAATGTAATGGAATTTTGGATTTGATCGATCTAAAATAGCATTTTTGTAGGACCTTCAATATGGTTAAAAGATATGCGGGTGTTATCTAATAATGTACCAGAATTTATCCCGGAGGGTTGGTCACTCATAGATATATTACTTGTTTTTACCATTTTCTCTGTATTTGTCTTACATTGCCCAGCAAGGTATGATAATATTAATAAATTTATTTATGTTAGATTTTTTATTTGCATTTTGTTTACTCTTTTTTTTTTTCTTTTTTTTTATAGTTTATATAATGTATATGTAGTCTGCAAAAGGACAAAGAAATCGTTCATATCTACACTCTCTCAGCTCTCTTCAATAACCATATATTCTTTATGTGCCTATTTGTGGCTCTCGTCTCCTAATTCCTATGTCCTAAGGGATAAACATTTCATTCTCTATGCATTAACCGTTGGAATAGTGTTCGGGCGGGTTGCAACCAAAATCATTTTGGCCCACGTGACCGATATGCCGTTTCCGATGTACACTGTACTTTTGATTCCTTTATTTGTGGGCGCTGTCCTGACGAACATACCACGGTTTTTCCACACGTAATTAAACAACCGTTTTCTGATATTACTATTCATAATGTGATTATGTGATTAACTTTCGTTCAATAAAATTCAGCGAAGAAATTTTGACTGCCACCGGCGAACATTACTATCTATGGGCTTACTTCTTCTTTGCCGTGATATCTTATTTACACTGGGCCAATCTAGTTATCAACAGGTTCTGCGCACACCTCAAGATTGAATGTTTTCACATTCCAACTCGTTCATCAGGTCCGAAAAAGATTGATTAATTATATTATAATTGTTTGTATTCGCGGATTTTGGAGCATATTTGAGAACTTTATCATCACTGAACATTATGAAGGTAGATGAGTGTGCTCACACTGATTTACGTACCCTCTACTATTTTATTAAACTTAAAAACTTTAGAGGAAGCGACTCTCCTACAAAAATAATCGTTTTACGAACAATGGCGGAACGACTTTGGCACAACGATCTACTACTTATAAAATAGAGTTAAGCCAATTATAGACGTAATACGTAATTTACAAAAGTTTGTTTATAATCGCGCCTGCCATTGCATATAATGGCTTCTTTATTTTAATGAGTTATTTGTAAAATAAGATAGAACTTTAAAGACTTTCATTTTTTGACCTTGCAAACGTTGCAAATGATTACATCAACATTACAGTTGTTATATATTGTTCGAAACAAATTCACCTTTAAATTCAACCACATTACATAAGTAAAAAAAACCCTTTAAATAAATTCTTTTATTTAAACAATATTTTTAATGTGTATTAATTAGTATCATTTATGTTACCTTGTTTTTATAATCGAATAATGTTATTTTTTTTAAATTAATCAATTTTATTATTATTTTTTTATTTGAAAAGGCAATTGATAGCATAGATTTTATTGAATGTTAGTGTTCATATCATACATATAAACAATTTTATACATGCTAATATTATTACTAACTGTAAGTTTAATCAAGTTAATTCATCTAAGTTGACATTTACAAACTCAAAAAAATTTCAAATAAAAAAAGATAAAAATAGTTAATTACTAATTGTATTATTAATTGAGCATGTATTTTCATAATAGTAATAATATAGAAATAATTATGAATTAAAAATTTGAATTGTGATTTGATTCATATAATCATATAATAATTAAAATAAGAATTCAATCTTTTAATTATTTTTCTTGAATCAAATAGTAGTAGTAATATCAGATATTTAAAATAAAATTACTTATATATTTATATATTTTAATTATTAATTGATAATAAATAAGTTAAAATATAACTTGTGTATTTTGTAATTATTTTTTTTCTAAAAAAAATAAAATAATAAAATAAAATAAAATAAAATAAAAAAGTTGTTTTTTTTTTTGATAAATGTTTAATTTTTATTGAATTAATTTCAAATACTATATATGTAAATGGGTTATAAATATTAACATTACTATTAATTATATAATTAATCATAACTAATTTATTTTAATAATTTAAATAAATTCAATCTTATCTTAATATAGAATTTATATATCAATAATAATGAAAATTCTGTTATTAATTTAAAATATCTACTTTGCAGAAATTTATAAGACAATTAAATATTCTAATACTTTTTATCTTAAATATTATACTAATCCAAATTAGATTATTTGGATGCTAAATTATAGCCAATTAAATTCAAATTTATTAATAAAAGTTTATACTGAAGTTTTGTTGTTTGGTCCAATTTATACCATTTAATACTTAAAAAAAACACAATAATTTGACAAAAAAAAATATAATATTTGGCAAAAAAATAATTATTTGATAATAAAATCATTTGACAATAAAATTATTTGGCAAAAAAATATTTCTAGTTAAAAAATATTTGATAATAAAGTTATAACATTCTGAAATAAAAATTATAGTATTCAGAATAAATTTTTATTATTTAATTATAAAGTTGACAAAATTATTTAGTATTATATAGTTTGATAAAATCAAATTATATATATATATATATATATTTTAATATTTATTAAATTATAAAGAACCATTACACACATGAGAATATATGCAAAGTACAAATTTCCTTGACTCAACTCAATTATCGACAGTTGAAGCCTCTAGATGTAATTTATGAAGATAATATATTGTTCCCCTAAAGGATATAATTAAGACTCCAAACTTCTGATAAAATAAAAACCTGCAGATCATCTCTATAGTCATGACCATAAATCCAAATTGTGTCACCCCTCTCTTATAGAAACTACACAAGAGAAAAAAGAAATAAAAAAGAGAATTTTTTGACAAAAAGAAAAAAAAAAAGCTATTATCTATTTTAACTATCATTGAAAAGATTATCTCAGTGAACTTAAAATCAAAGCTCCTTATTATTTTCACTTCTCACCACCTGTAATCAATTAAACTGTTTAATTTTTAATAAAGTAGTTAATGTCCAAGAATGTTTAAGAATACTTTTAGAAGAGTATTTCTTGAAACTTTATACTTGAAGACTTCTAATCAAAAAGGATGTTAGTTTTCTATTGTTGATTTTTCTTCCAAGCCATGTCTTCTGGAATTATAGCTTCACTCAACCAGTGAATAGTTTCAAGATTTCTTTCTCCAATCATTTTTGAGATAGATATTGGTACTTTAACTTGTTACCAAATTGGAATAGGACTTAAACCTTGTCGCTACTTCCTGTTCTCAAAAAAGAATAGGAAAGAAAAAAAGAAAATAAAAGGATAGGAACAAAAAAAAATCACTTCTCTTCTACTTACAACTTTTACTTCACCTAATACTTCTATATTATTACTTTAATCAAAAACTGTCCAACTCTTTCAAGAACCAATCATATCATTGATTTGGTGTTGTGTAACTGGGAACACATGAAAAGTATATGTCTTGTTTACTTTTTCTGAAACTGATGTGATCAACCAATCCATGGCCTTGACCAATTATCTTTCAGGAGATCTGATGTAATCAAAAATTCAGGGTCAAACTGAGATAAACAAAATTCCTTAAAAAAATCAAAAAAAAGAAAGCACACTTAAGAAAAAAGAAACAAGAAGCCAAAGAGATAATGAAAAGACTGGTGACTTCTTTATTTTTGTTTTTCTAAATTCTTGAATCTTTTGAGGATTTTTAAAAGGTATTTTTTCTTATCAGTTTTTTTCTTATAAAGGTGTTCTTGTTATAGATCTTTTAGGTAGGTTTCTTGTATTTAATTGCAAAAATAAACAAGAAAAGTGTTTTGAAAAATAAAAATAAAACAAGTGATAGTTTTTTGCTTACTTGGCTGATTAAAACCAGCATTGTTTTTAAGGAAAGTATATAAACTTATTATTATAAAAACAAAAAATCTTTTGAAAACATCTGTTTTTTTGGATTGATAAAAGGATCAGCAGAAAGAGTCTACTATGTACAGTAGGCATTATAAATATCTGGAATTTTTTATGGTAAGTAAAAAAAAAAATTTTTTTTATTAATCATCATTGAAACTTCGTATATACATAGTCAAATATGATTACTAATTAAAAAAAAATCTTTTAATTATCTAGCTTCCCCTTTTTCAATCAATTATCTCTAAAACACAATTTTTTATATATATTGCTAATGTAAGAAATAGGTCTTTATCTAATTTGTCCCATGCCCAATGGTTAATTTGCTGAAAAATATTATTCGAAAAATTTTTTTTTATTAGACATAAGTTTGATTTTTTTTCGATCTTGCCCTTAAGTATTGCCTATAAATTCTTGATTGGATTTAGGTCAGATGAATAGGCAGGCCAATTGAGAATTAAGATGCCTTGGTCTTTGAGAAGACAATGCATTTTTTTTGAATTATGAACAGAAGAATTATTCTGTTGAAAATAAAACCTGTGGCAAACTAATCTAGAAAATTGAGAAAAAAATGAGTTTCAAGAATTTCTTGATATTTAATAGAATTAAAATTTTCTGTGAATAAAACTAGTACAATCAGGCCTCGTGTCGAAAATGCATCCCAAGCATGAATTTTGTAGAGATGTTTTATCATACTTCAGTGTAGTTACGACTCTCCATAATGGTATCTTACTAACTGTATATTTCTAAATATCTGAAAGATTATTTCGTCAGAAAAAATCATGTAGTGCCAGTTATGGTTAACATGATCTTGAATCCATTCAAGACAAGTGGCAATATGGTGAAGCTGAAGAAGAGAAATGGTAACCAGATGACAAACTGAAGAGCTTGTTTTAATGTATGTTGAATAGTATAAACAGAAACCTTTAGGTAGGAATTTTTGAGGACAAGTCTTTTGACCATTTCAGTTGCAGTAGCAGCTTTATTGGTTTGCATGATCTGATCAAGGTGATGAAGTTGTGGAGATGCAAGAATTGGAGGTCTTTCAGGTATAGGAAGTGGTATAACGAAAGATCTTTTTTTAATTTAATTGATTATATCATATACTGTGGACTTTGGGTAACCTGTTATACAAATTATTTCTGCAGGTTTTTAGATATTATTTGTCCAAAGCTAACTTACAACTGTTCTTTGCATTTTGGACTTTGATAAAGATAACATTTACATCGATTTTTTTTTAATAGCTATAAAAAAAATTTTTTTTAAATACAAGTCATATAAACATATTCTTACTTTAATTAAAATTTATATTATATAGGTTGTTGTTTTATAAAATGATGAATAACATAACTTTAAATATGCTACATCAAAATTCCAGATATTTATGATGCCTACTGTAAAATCATAATTATATATTTTCAATAAAAAAATTGCATTTATAATAATATTTAGCAAAATTTAATTAATACTTGATAAATTTAGTAAAAATGTAAAAAATATAAAATTTGAAATAATTATTTACTAGTTATTTATTAATTATTTGCTAATTATTCACTAATTAATTAATTATATATTATTCGTATATTATTTACTAAATTTCTCTTCCATTTCTTTATTTGAATTTTCCTACTCATAATCTTTATCTTTTTCTTTTACTGATTTTGCCATGGCTCTTGTAATTCTTGAAGATTTTATAATATTAAGTTTTCTTTACTTTGAAGTGCTTTTTTATAGTTTTTGTGTTTTTTGTACTTCTTGTATTCTTGTAATTTTTTTTTAATTTTCTTTTTTAATATTGCTTTCTGAATTTCATCCATTTGTACACTTTCTTCAGTTTGATACTTTCCTTCCTCTGAATATATAAGTAATTCCTCATAATCAAATATTCTTTATCTTTTATGTTTTTTTACTAATTGTTTATCTTTTTTACTTTGTTTTATTTCTTGCTCTTCATTCTCTAATTTACAAGTTCAACTTGGTATGTTTTTTGGCAGAATTATATTGTAACAATAAGATTTACTATAGTTTCATTTACAAGTTGATTGAAATGGTTAAATAAATTTTGAATATTTATTCAAATTTTCCAATAAATCTTTCAACTATAAAATAATTAGTAATAAATTAATTATTTGACATAAAATTATTTATTAAA